TAAATGATGAAGTGATTGATTGACTGACTAACTGGTTAGATGATGAATTGATTAGTTGATTGACTTAATGACTGAGTCATTGACTAATAAACTAAATGATAGACCAAATAACATGAATGAATGATTGATTGATTGACAGATGATTGCAGATTGATTGATACAGTAAATGACTGTCGTATCAATTAATAGATAGCCTGTGGGTGAGAAACGGATGCATACAGGCTATTAATAGATGGATTAACCAATTGATTAGCCTCTCTACTCAAAGGCATTCTTAGTCTTGCCACAAAAATTTTCTCAAAAATGCCTGTTAGAGAGGTTACCAATTGATTGACTGGGGATGATTGATTGATTAACTGATTGACAGATTGCATGAATGGCTCAAATTCACATCTTACCTGTCTAGTAATCACAAAATAAGCATAAAATATAATCGCTGTGCCATAGCCAACAAAGTACGTCACAGGCTCCATGATATCCCACGAGTACTCCCACCAAGTCAARCGAGCCAGAAAACCAAACTGAAAAGCCATGTATGCAAGACCTCCCCAMACAAAAATGTTAGCCCGCTGTTCTGCTTTGGAATCGAGCTCCTTTTTRACTTTTTCCAACGGCTCCAACTGATATTTGATGTCATCTAACTTGCTGAGAAGCTTCCGTTCTTTCTCAAGCTTTGGAGAAGAGATGTACAAACAAATATTATTTCCCAATTGATTTTTAAATCAATTAAAAATATTAAAAATATTTGCATAAGGCTATTAGTAATATGCCATGGCTCAGTCTCATAATACAAGAAAGTAGCATAATGTTTGCTGAATTCAAATCAACCTTGGGGTTTATAATTGCTTCATACATGTTGACCCAACACAAGAAACCCAAATTAAAATTGTTTAGCTGGTGTAAATGGTGCAGTACATACCTGGTGCTCCTCTATGTTCAAGGAACTATATAATTGGTGGATTAGCGTCTTTGCTTTGGCCAATTCTCTTGAATTTTCGGTAGGTATTTTGGCTAAATTAAATAGGAAAATGTCATTAGCAGAGGTAATAGTACACCAAAATACTTAGGATTTCATTTACAATTAAATGTAAACTTACTTTCCTCRGGAACTTCTACAAGATACTCAACATCATTGACTACCAAATTAAAATTAGATCTCAGCAATGCATCAAGACGTGTACTTCCAGACACACGAGACTTTTCTAAATTATAGACAGCCACACGGTCAATGCCACCGTCTTCATCTTTTATGTTGYCAACAAAATCTTTCACTGTCTCTCCAAGTGGGCGGAGTGTAAATTCACAGAGCTCACGTCGAGATGGAAGGGGGACAGTGAGGACAGGGAAGCCATTTCGATTTCCAACGATTATACTTTGAGCATCTAAATTTAGGTGAAAATAGGTGTTACTTACATGATAATATATATATAGTATTCCAATATAACACATAGAATCTTAATTTCTTTCATTGTTCTGAAACAGCTGAAATTTATGCCAAATCACCTTTTTTGAGAATATTTATGGCAACTTTACATAAAATATACAAAATTTTAAATGAATTTATTACAAAAATATAAAATTTAAAAAAATCGATGTATAATGTTTACTTAAGGTGGTTAAAATGAGCGCTCTATTTCTTTTACAATTTGATTTGTTAATGAAAGCAAAATAACTTTATTATTGACACTGACTTTTGCTTAAAATTCATTTTCGCTGAGAAAACATTAAAATTGTATGAATCTTTATCATTTTTGATGACGCTCTGCTACAAATTCTTTCACTACATTTGACTCTTTTATAAGAAAGCCCATTCGAGATGGTTATCATTGAATAAGGTCATTATGAAAGCAAAGATACAAGACCTTTATGTTCGCGTTTTCAAAGCAATTTGTTGTAAGACAAAAGCCTGAAAGCGTCGTTTATGAACACTTAAGATCACCTTGGCTATCAAGCTGAAACAGAACTACAGACGAATGTAGACATCTTGTCAACGATCCACTTCTACAAAGAAACTAAATAACATAGATAATTAAACAAAATATCATCCACTAGAGAATATCAAAGGTAGCAGGGAAACAGACTTTCATCAAAGTCATTTTCCCTGAATTAAATTAGCTGGTTGGTTAGTCGATTGACTCGAAGCTTCGAACGCTGGATCTGACTTTRGAAATTGGCCAAAAATAAACCGTAGAAGCAATGAAATCTACGACCAGTGCTTTTAGAGGYTATTCACGAGTGAATCTAGGTGTATAGTTTAGCTATATCTTACCAATTTCTTGGAGAAAACAGACGAAAGTGACTTCAATCGCGGAAACGCCTGACGACCCGCCATTTTGGATCCTAATCAAAACAATTACACGTCCCTAGGGAGGGGTGGGCAGGTAAACTGTCACTCTTGTTTCCATGGTTACAGTTTTTGGAAAACAATTTCGCAAATGTAAAGATGCATCGATTTTGACGGACAGAATGGCGTTTCATGGTTTCATGATCAGTTATCGTGTTATTTTCTAAGGGATCCCCCGGCTCCTAATTTCAAATATGTATTGTTGCATTAGGTCGGGATGCGTGACTGCCCAGCTGTGCGTGAGAATCACGGCACTTGTACTGGGTTATCCAGGCGCGTAACGTCCTTTACGCATATACGCACGTGAGTACTAGTGGCAACGAAAATTTTCGGGATTTGATGCATTTTATATGCTTTCGATGCCCCCAGAACGCTAGAAATCGCATTTTCATAAGAGTTATTATTTCAAAATTTCCTTGACCACCCTTAATACTCCCGCATTCCGCGTCCGTTGGCGCCCCCTATCCAAAACTGTGTCCTGGTCCCTGACATGTGCGTACTAACCTAAAAGTCCACGCTACGCGCCTGTTACCTGTTCTTTTTTGGGCGCAAATACTGAATGGAATCAGCTGTGGTGAATGGAAATTACTAGCAGACGATCTTCTGACGTTGCCACCTTGATGTCAAGCTCTTGCAATTTGCAAACTGCGGTGAAGAAGAAGACGGTACAAAACACCACATGATGATCTGTGACATTGCTTTATAGTTGTCGCTATAGGGAGTAAGAATGGGACTGTTTGTGCTGTATTCTGCATCTTTTTCAGTCAAAAAAAAAAAAGAAAGAAAACGGGGCATACTGTTTCAACCTCGTACCCAGGGCTTTCTCTTCCTCGCTATTTACAAAATGGCCGCCATTTTGTAAATAGCGAGGAAGAGAAAGCCCTGGGTACGAGGTTGATAGTGTGTAGAACAAGAGGGTCAAGGTCTTTCAGATCTTTTATTCATTTGCAATCCTTTATTCAAAGCGATTGGAGATATAAACGTGTAATTTTCTCATCCATTCATTTTCCATTCCTTATGTTTTCATTCCATTTTAACGGCCAATACATACAGCGACATCGATCAGTAAAAATCTTGCCCAGCGGTTTACCATCACAAACACAACGAGTGTTGGTTCCAGCTTTCTCGCACAAAACCGGAAGCTTCTTTACGGGCCTACATATTGAGCTTTCTTCTTGCTTTGGGACATCAATAACCCGTATGTAYGACCTGTGATTGGGTGGTTTGCATTGACGTTTTGAGCATGCGCGAGCCCATATAGGAAGCAATGGGCCYGTTTTGCAGTCGACCTTACAGTGTGCTATATATGGGCTAATGAGRTCACCTTTATGACACGTTTCCGGTTTGGTGGGGTCGCACCGCTGACCTTCGTCCATGACGCAGTCAGYGACGTTATCTACTGCTCGTGCCAATTCCTTTGCCGCGCTTCTATATTTKGGATTATGCACAAGATTTAGYAGACATTTGCGAAATTCCACGTTGCAATAGCAACGGCGGTAGCTATAKATACCACCTCGTGGCGGGAAGGTCTCTCCACCAGCGCAGGTCAGCATGCGRTAGCAACACACATCAATATCATTGGTTGGTTTTGAGTTCRTTTTKCCATCGAATCTCTCCTTAGTRACGTCACAATAGTGTGTGGTTAGTTTGAGCTGTTCAATGGYGTTTGACGTAATGCAGGCAAACCCATCGCCATCTTTTTCTCCTCCAAGAGTCCATTGCAAGTTGTGGTCAGCCAGTTCAATGCAAARTTTCCCTACATTCTCACAGAGACTTGGGTTGGCTTTRCATTGGTTTATGCCGAGACTRCAKTGCTTGTGGCCAGTAGGGCATGCGCATCGTACTTCGGAGCCCCACATTTTGCACTTGGCATTGGCGGAAGCGCAGAGATCRTCTATTTTACAGAGATCTACAAAATATTGACACCTGGAAAAGCAAAACAAAGGATATAGTATGAATAAATAGATATCACTGGAAAAAATCGCACGCTTAAAAGGTTGTAAATTTGATGTATATATGATGTAAGTGTCCAAAATGATGTAAATTTGATGTAAATCATTTCCATCAAATTTACATCATTTTGGACACTTACATCATATTTCCATCAAATTTACAACCTTTATGGCGCGCGATTTTTTCCAGTGTATAGCGAATGCGAAATTACTTTTCAGTGCTGAGCTCGATGTTAAAATTGGACACTTTCTTGAGCCTGCGATGCCGACAAGCACGGTACAGCAGAAGAAGCAGAGATACTGCTCAATTCACAGGAAAAAAAATTAAAGTAAATAWAAACGTTCACCATTTATAGTAATATTGGAAAGACCAGGTTATCTAACCTGCACTCATTTTTCTTCCAAACTCCAACTCCATTCTTCAGGGCAGGTGCACTGCAAACACACCTCGTGCCAAGCTCACCGCAGACAAATGTTCCTGGAATGCGTTGATTTTCCTTTGACCCAGTTCCTGGTCCATAGCGGAAGTCAACTGGACTGCACTGTGGCTGTCCAGAGCTGGGACCAACAGATCGGTGGTTCATAGAAGCTGGTGTTTCAAGTGATGGAAAACATCTAATTATAAAAGATATATGAACAAACGCGTCAGCTCTGGATATCCAACCAAAAATATCTGGTAAGATTGACAGCCTGAAGTTCCCTGACAGACATGACAACTGGTGCCTATGGTAACACTTGAAATTGTCTTTAATTGGAGCAAAAATCAAGAGTCAATGTCTATAAGCTCGGCATCATAGTTAGTAGCGGGAGACGGTTTCCCTCTACTAACTGTGGCTCAACACAATACATAAAAAGGCATGGATACTTTACTAATAGCCAGTCTACGCTAGGTTACCATTTCCTTTTAATTTTGTAGCCAGACCAGAGTTGAGTAGCGGAAACTTGATAGAAATACAGTGGTTGTCTAAAAAAACTTCACCATAACGTACGCATCCATTTACAACGGACTACGGACTGACAGCCTCAGGCCTTTTCTACACTGACTTGGAACCTATTTTTCTTTCTTTTTCAATAACTTGAGGACACGCAACAATAGCAAACGCTACGAACGCATCAGTATGAACAAGGCTGGCTTGACGCGTTGACAGCAATTTTTGCGCAACGTACTGATGTATATTACCGGTATGTTTTGCTCTCTTTAAACCCAAACGTCAGTTCCTGGCGAATGTGARACGTAAACCTAGGCTCGCACGTTGCAACACGAGGATCGATCAGATCTCCAGTTCTACAGGAGTTTTCAAATGGGTTGCAGTATTCACGGTCTGGCAAAACAAACTGATTCTTGGTTGCAATGCATTGTATCAGCTTCGGATTTTCGTTACAGAATTTTGATGCGTTTAAAGCGTGAATCAAAATTAAAATCTTAAAGACAATAGTAGGAGATATTACTAATGAATTGCGCATTGTTTTCTCAACTTGAAAGTTCCATGTAATTGTGACGTAATAGCATTTGATTTGATTGGCCCAGAACTCTCTGCGCGCGCTTTCCAGCTAGATCTAAAACTCAGAAYGCATTTTTTCTTTTTGTATCTTTTCCTACTAATTTCAAAGACCCAATATTATTTTTGGTATTCATTAACTTGTTTTCTTAAAATTTGGTGAAAAAAGTACAATTTTAATTTAAATGTCCGTCTGTCTAGCCTCCTGGAGACTGGTATCGAACTGCCAGTCACACCTTCCGCGCATGCTCAAAGCTTAATCCCACGTGATGAACCGGTACAAACGATAAGTCTAGTGAAAGAGCGATCGATAGTATGGCTTCTGGAGACGAATCTACTGCGAAAGAAAAGAAAGAAACCAAAGCTGATGAGGTAGCTATAACAACTAGTCTTTAAGCTTTATCTTGGTGTAAAATTTACTTTATTTTAGGTAATTTTGGAATTAAAAATGACATTCTAAAGTTGACTATCCCTTCGGAACTGGGTATGCCTGGCCAACCACTTGAATCGAACTTTGTACAAATTCATCCACAAAACTAATTGAGATTGACTCTATTTGTGAGAGGAATTGTACATGATTGTTTACTTAATAGTCCTTACTATTTATTAATGACAATTTTTATGTAAAACAACGAAAATAGTTTGTAGAACTCAGTTTGAAAGTGCTTGAATTCCCACCATGACTTCAATCAACTCTATCGAAGCGCAGTATTTTTAGTTTTAATCATCCTACATGTCTAACTGAGGTGTTATATTTTATTTCTCTATTGTTCCTTTATGATTAACTCCCTCGTACTCTGAATTTAGTCTTGTATTGTGTCCCACGTCTTGTTTTCAAACCTGGAAGCTATTTGCTCATTTCACTGTTCATGAACTAAGCTCATAAAAGCACGAAAAATTAAGCTTATTAAAGAGTGTCTTTTAATACACCGAAAACGTAAAACCAGRATAAAATCTCCGTTTTTTATTATGAGTGGGAAGTTTTTGATAAAATAGCATTTTGAAAATGAAGTCTATCACACATATTAGTAAATTCTCAAATTTATTTAAATTCTACTTTATATAAGTTTAATATGTCTACATTTTTTGCATTCTAGGTAAGTTATATTGTATGATTTTGTTAAGTTTTAGAATTTTCCTAGCAAGTTCATGACAGCAAGCAACATAAGGGTCTGTTTTTGGTCCAATTGACCTGTAATCCCATCTGTAGCAGACCCAGACTACATTGTAGCTTTATGGCTATTGAAACTTTGAATAGAATAAAAACTCATTGAATAGCATTTCAAACTAGGATAAAAGGATGGAAATYATGTATTAAGAATCATTTAGTTTGATGCATCATTAAGAGCAGACAACACAGTCTAGTGACTATGAATGACTGTCTTGCTAGTTGTCAATAATTAGTTTAACACGCAGGAATATTTTAATTGTCACTGTCAATTTTGAATTTATTGTTGGAGTATAAAGGGTCAAGCATTTCTGAGACTTTGACATTTTCTTTTTTGTGATTATAAAATTCAAAACTACATAATATAATTTGTTATATAATAYTATATGCAGAAATAGTTCTAAGTTCCTTTAAACAAACTACGAATTAAAAAAAAAACAGTAACAAAATATGCAGACACAAGACAATTACCGTTACCAAAACAACTCCAAGACAAAACGATTGAAATGCTCTCTGTTCATTTTAGCTCAATAACCACGCACTTTTCAGTTTGATTTATTGACTTGTGTTTCTCAGAGCTAGATTTTCGGAGAATTTATAGTAATACTGAGAAGTTTGGATTAAAATTTCTGTTCCTGCCGTGTAAAACAAACTTATCACATTACTGATGTCCTGTCTGCAGTAAGTAGCACCGTGAATGCTAATGTATGCAAATTAGTTTTTATTGGGCAATTTTACACTTCTCATAGATAAGCCGCACCCCCCATTTGGGAACAACTTTTTTGGAAAAAAAGTGCGGCTTATACATGGGTAAATACGGTAACCTAAAAAAACCAATGAATTTGTACAAGCTTCTCTTATGTTTTCCCATCATTTTATTTAAAAATATAGCAATTCATTGTAATACTAACTATACAATTCATTCAAGAGGAATCCTAAACATACTTAGTAATGCACTGATATGATATCGTAAACTTAGGTCACTTTGCCTTTTGCATGGCTGGCATAAGTTCAATTAATCATGCATTAACTTATTTGAGCACTWAAGATAAAATCTTATCAATGCCGTACAGTGTACCAAGTTATTAAATCTAGTCGCTCATRTTTTGTTTGTGGAAGAAGTGCTAGCATCGGTTCCTCATTGAAAATATTGTGTACAATATGCACAAAATTGTGTACAATATAATGTATAATATTTTGCAATGATTCTCTGAAATGCAACAATACTTGTGTCGGTGTAAACATCTGTAAGGATCCATTGTAGGTAAATTTCAGAAAAAAACATTGCTAAAAAAAATCAAAAACAGCAGTTCCTTTTGCTGTATAAGTTGATCGAAATTGCCAAAGTKTGACAGTTATCAAGACATTTTATAAGTATATATTTATCAATATTTTATATCAATATTCTTAATTTTTATCAGTTTTTTACTGTATTTTGTTTAGTGAGTATTAATTTTGGTTTTGTTTGTGCAGGAAGTGAAAGACGAGAAGACTGAAAATGCAGTTGTAGCAGCTCCTCAGAAATACTCAAAACACCCACTTCAGAACAAATGGAGTTTCTGGTTTTTCAAAAATGATAAGACAAAAAGTTGGACYGATAACCTGAGAATAGTCACTTCATTTGATACTGTATCCTTGAAATATTGTTTATTTATAGTCATTTGTACTTCTAAATATCYATTAACTTATCCATTTATCCTTTCGTTTATTCTCTCATTGATTCATTTTTTAGATTTGTTATTCTCTCATTAATTCATTTTTTAATCCATCCATTCACCATTCATTTATTTAACTATTAAAGGGACACTGTCAATGGCACGCATGCGCAAGTAAACATGAAAACACTAGGCTAGTGTTTTCAAGTTTATGACTCCAAGTTGGCGCAACATACATGTAAATCAGCTCGTAAACGTAAACAGATCTAGAATATTCCAAAGTGTGTCAAAAGCACCACAAAATGATTTACCTCGAAGGTAATTCTTTCAAAGTCCGTCAGAGGTGAGACTGTTACTGCGCATTTCATCCATTGACAGAGTCCCTTTAAGCCAAAGACTTCTGAAGCTTTTACATCATGTACCCTATGCACAATGCATTGTAGGATATGTTTGAGACAAAACATGGTGCATTTCTTTTGTTTTCTCTGCAAACTGATCCCACAATGTGTTGAAAATCAAGTGGTGATGTAAAAGGATCAGGAGCCTATTCATTTATTCATTTATTCAACTATTATCACATTGTTTATCTGTTCATTTTGTCTACTGTTTTTCTCCATTAACTTTATACTCAAATACGACAGGTAGAGGATTTCTGGGCGTAAGTAAATCAWGTAGTAAACCACTGAAGACTAGATCTTCAAAGGAGACAGTGATTCATTGATGGAATCTGTCAGTGTCTTTCAGCCAGTCACTATAGATCTAATAACATCTAATAACTTATTTTTCATTTTATAAATAGGGTATTTAATCACATACAATCTGCAAGCAAATTATCATCAGGGTGCGATTACTCGTTATTCAAGGTGAGAGAAACAATACATGTCCTTTTAGCACCTTGTATTCACACTTTGATATAGTGTGTATTTTATAAAGTGTGTAAGCTGCATTATCAGCACTCATTCTAAAGGGATCACTACCTTACCGTGGCAGGGTGGTTTGTGTCCCAGAGAGCCAGTGTCGGCTGGAGTCTCAAATTCCTTGTAAGGGCTACCCATGTCAAACAGGTCAAAGTGTGATCTCTTGGTYCTCCTGCTTGGAGGTTGAGCATAGGGTCCTTGCCCTACCTTGTACATGTAAAAAAACCTTTATGTTACTGAAACTAACTCCCAAACTAACTAAACMAAATCTGAGATGGCTAGGGAGGGAGGTGAAGGCCTTATGCGCCTAGTGGACCACGATGAGTCAAGTTGGGCAACTCATTTAAGTGATACTCTTTCAGTAGTCAAGTATCTAACAAGTACTGGTCGTTTCTGTTATGTCTATGTCTCTTCTAGTTAAATGTTATTAAATATTAGATTTTGTTTAACTGATGATTGCCATTATTTTGTCAGGATGGTATTGAACCAATGTGGGAAGATGCTAGGAATAAGAATGGTGGAAGATGGTTGTTAAATACAACTAAACATCAAAGAGCAGCAGATCTTGATAGATTCTGGCTGGAAACAGTAAGCCAATAACTTTCTCTTAAAATATATTTTGTTGCAGTTTTTTTAAATAAACTTGCACGTAAAATATTTCTGGAATGTTAAAAGTATTTATGACTTCAATTCTTTGATGAAAATAAGACAAGAATCAAAATATTGTTTAAGCAAGATAACAATTTAAA